TGGGATGTAGTGCAAAGAGAAAAGTGTCAGTATGAAGTCTTAGGTAAGGCCTGTCATTAATGAGCGGATGAGAAAAGAAAAGCCGACAAGATAAATTGTATAAAATCAGGGGTAGGAGAAGAACTATGACTGAGATTGCCACATATGCCAAAAGGAGGAGAATTCTAGAAAGGGAGGAAGTGATCAGGGACATCACATACTGCAGAATCAACTGGGTGGACAGCACAGAAGAGGCTTTCAGATGTGACAATTAGGAGACAGTTATTGGCCATGAAAAGAACAGTTCCAGTAATAAGTCTTTGTTCATTTGTCATTGGGCTGGATTCTAAGCACACATAAGGACTGTGTTGCTCAGTGCTTTCTGGTTTACAAAGCCCTCCTCCATGGTCATTGCCAACAAAAGCAGACTGGCTAGAACCCTATCTCCAAGCTCAATGCAATACCACTCTACATCAGATAGGTCCTCAAACCTCAGTCAGCCCAACGACACCTGTCGTCAGAGCAGCATGTGCCCTAGAAAGGATCCCAGCAGTTTGGCAGTAGTTACAACCAACTCTTATAGTTGACCATAACCATAATAGGCTTGTATAATGTTATGATCTTGTCTCTGATTCATCTATACAAGCAGGCACAGAGCTTCTTGCTAGAGAGATGACATAGAAATTCAGAAAACGCACCAATAAGCAGCCAGCCTGGAAGAATGGGCAGGTAGTCTATTGCTATTAAGTAATAAAACATGTTAAAGTAGATGAGACAAGGAATATGTAAAGTATAAGGATTATATATAGTTCTCATTTAACTTTAAATGTAAATTACTTTGGAAATAGAAGCAAATCATGATTTTCTTGAATGAATCATTTATAAAATTATACTATAGGTCAGATTTTCAAGGTTCAGCATCTTTCTTAACATATATAATTTATTATGACTTTATAACTTCTCAAAACCATTCTTCACTTTTTGAATTCATGAGCCTGGTTTCTAGAAAGGATAATTTTAAAGAAAAAAACGTAATTTTTACATGACTCTCCAAAAGTAATCTACTGGATTATTGAGGTGTAGAGGTGCACAGGAACTATTGGAGTATTTGTTCATTTATACCTCACCTTATTCCAGAAAGAAATTAAGTCAACTTATAACTCATAAAGTTAATATTATATACGTCTATAATCATTTACATTCTGAGTTAGGGACTGGGGGTGGGGTGGGAAAGAAGTCCTTTAAGTTAAAGATTAAAAGGGAAATATGAGGGAATAAATAGGGTTTAGGAAATCTTGTTGGCTAACTTTCCAGGAGTATAATTATGCAACAACACTTAGGGCTCAAATAAGAACAGTCAGGAAATCCTGGCTTCAGATGCCTAAGGATTGCTATCTGTCTGCTTAATGACTTGCTGTAGCAATCTCCAGGCCTCAAGTTGATACTCCTGTCTGCAGCAGACACCAGACTTTGTGTGATTTCTCTATCAGCACTTCCTTCTGCCTGCCCCCTACTTGCCATTTTTACATTTATAGTCCTCTCGTTGTCTAAGGCAAATTTAAATTACTTTGTTTCTTCTGTATGTTCTTTGCAGGCTCAGTACACATCAGTCAGGTAAGTAAAGATTGAATTTATAGTAAAAAAAAAAAGAAAAAAAGATTAAATTTATAGAGTACTCTACACATCCTACAAAGAATGAAAGCTAGCATATTGGCTAAGAGCTTGGGCTCTTTGAGATAAATTGCTTAGGTTCAAAGCCCTGACCACTGCTCATTGTCTCTGTGGCCTTGCGAAAGATACTTCAATTTTTTTGCCTTTATTCCCTTGTCCGTAAAATGGGGGGTGATAACTACATCCTTCAGCATCACTATACAGTTAAAGGAGATAATTCATGCTTAGAACAAGTACATAGTAAGTACTCATAGCTAACACATGGTAAATGTTAGTTGATATTATAATCACTGTCATAATTGACTATCCCATTTGAATTTTTTAATGATCTTTTAAGATACTTAAGTATTATTAGCCCCATTTTATAGATATACCGGGCTTTGAGGTTCAACCCGCCCCAAATCATATGAGCATTCCTGGAACAGCTAGGATTAGAACTGTGTTGTGTACGTAGTTTCCTTAGGGCTTACAGTTAGACTGGAAGTGAACAGAGTTCATCTCAGAAGCCAGCGCTAAAGAGTTGAAGTGGCTGTTCAGAGTCATGTTCACAGTTGCCTTCCTTTTCTTTTTTTTTTTTTTTTTCTTAGCTAAAGTTTCTCATTAACCCTTTATAAAAAAACTTTTATGTAAATTTGAACACATCTTGTAATGGAGTTATTCATTTATAGAATCATTTTAGTCTGTCAGTTTGCTAGAGAAGTGTTACTATTCCTAAAATATTTTCTAATTAGAGCAGTTGATAGAGGGGTTCTCTTACAACCTCTTTCACTATAATAACTCATCCACATTTTCTGTTCTTTTTTTTTTTTTTTTTTTTTTTTTTTTTTTTTTC